TTATGCAAAAAACGCAACTTCGCACGGGCAGCCCGTGCGTTGGCCAATTACTTTTTTTTTTTTCATCAGTGATTTGCAATATTTATTTGGCGTTGCTCACGGCTACAAATGAAATCAGCGAAAAGGAGGAAGCAGCAACTTCCAAACGCAGCTGACTTCGAGATACGCTTCAACAGAGCTGACGAGACACTGCTGAAGGCTGAAAACTGAACAGAGTAATTGCGTGCAGAGCCACCTCATACCCAGTGCATGTGGGAAGGATCCTTGATCATACGTGCTGTTTCAGGTATGTTTCGTGGGTGCAGCAATGTCTCAGCTGATTAAAATGGGAGATGAAACGGACGTGCCGCTTTTCTTAGATGAACTTTCTCTTGGTGAAAAAAACCATGCAATATTCGTTATCAATGATCACTCGGACCCGAACACCGCCGGTGGCAGTCATTGGTCACTGCTAATATTCCGTCGTAAGAACAAACCCCATTTCCTGGCCATTGATAGTCTTTCAGGCAGAAACGATGCTCCTACTAAGAAGGTTTGTGATTTTCATATTTCTTTCTGTTACAGCCCACCGAAGCTTTTTCGAGATCATATCTATGTGAGATTACATTTACCATATCCTACTGAAACCTCATCATCGAATTTACGTAGCTCTTTCATCCTTAGCACCTTCCGCAGACGGATTTCTGCGAATAGTTATCCAGTTAGGCAGAGATAGATTAGCCTCAGCGACCGAGTGAAAAAGTATAAGTAAATTTACAGTATCTCACCGCGCCTCTTCCCTGTTTCATCAGTTTACAAGCAGTGGATTGATGATGGTATTTTCTCCATTTTCTTCTCCGATAGGTAGCTGCTAGCATGGTTGTTCGCAGTGTTGGTTTTGGCAACTGTTTAGTTAAGGATTGAGAAGCTCCATGCACTGTAAATGAAGAGGGGGAAGTGAATGAAACAATGGATTGTTTCATAAAGCAAGTTTAGGATAATGAGTATGCAGACCTGACTAAAATACTGCTGGACAATTTCACATTCCCTTGATTTCTTGTTCGCGATTGCAGTTATTCTATTTTTATGCGTTTTGTGCTGTGTAACAGCAGTACAAAACGCATATTGTCACGGGGTTGTTTGTGTGTTTGTGTCTCTGTGTGTGTGTGTGTGTGTGTGTGTGTGTGTGTGTCCGCAGCAACTTTTCCGCAACTTTCAACTCG